GAGTCGTTCGTTCATCACGTGACAGCCCCATAAGTTTAACCAATGCAGTCTGAGCCGGAAAGAGAATTGATTAGTTCATCTCTCGAGTCTTCGGTTTGAGTCATTCGTTCATCACGTGACAGTCCCATAAGCTTTAACCAATGCCGTCTGAGCCGGAAAGAGAATTGATTAGTTCATCTCTCGAGTCTTTGGAATCGTTCATTCTTTTGTCACGTGACGTGACAGCATAGAGAAATTAGTTAATTTACAAGCTTCCTTACAAACGGATGCATAGTTATTATTATTATTATTATTATTATTATTTACTCTTACAGTTATGTAATGTATTTCTGGTCTCAGATTGTAGCTTTTTACTTCTTACAGTTTATAAATGTGTGAATTTCTGTCATTATGGTTCTTTTCCATAACACTGAATGTTGTAACAAAGGTAATAAAGAGTTGGTTATTATTATTAAGTCTCTTTTCCGGCCTCAAGCCTATTGGTCTGTCACGTGATGAACGAACGACTCGAAAAACCCGAAGACTCGAGAGATGAACTAATCAATTCTCTTTCCGGCTCAGACTGCATTGGTTAAGCTTATGGGACTGTCACGTGATGAACGAATGACTCGAAAAACCCGAAGACTCGAAACAGGTGAACTACTTGACTAATTCCAGTACAGAACCTATAGGATGTTGCGCATGCGCGACTGAACGGATCACTCCCTGAGACGACTCGTTCTTCCTGAGTAACATTAAAGATTCGTTCAAAATGAATGAATCGTTCAAGAACGACCCATCACTAGTGCCTAGAATGTGCAGTCTACATCCGTAGACTAGCGCAAGTTAATTCTCACACTTTAATAGTATTTATAGCTTCTAACAGGCTGTGTGACTATGAGAAGTTGTTACCTCAAAATGTACGTCAGTATGCAGTTTTCCCTATTACTCGCGTGCCAGCGATTATCCCTCTGCGTGCCACTGTTGGCACGCATGCTGTAGGTTGCCGACCCCTGGTCTGTTGACATACAACTTGACTTGGTAATTGAAAGTTTGCAAGTTGGAACCCTGCAGAGGACAATCTAAAAGCCATTATTTTTGTGATTGTGAACGAGAAACAAAATGGCAACCCTGTAGTGAGGAAGTATTGTTCATTCATTCATTCATTCATTTCTTTCCATAATTTTTATGAATGTTTTTAAAGCTTTCTGTTCATAACAACAGCTTTCAAATCAGTAATTGAATTCCACATAATTCATTACATAATTTGACCAGATTAAATATGTAATTGCATGGTTGGAAATTTTTTTTGAACAGTGAGACTGTTTGTGAGATGATTTATGGGTTTGCATGTTTTACACAGGGCTTCCAGCGTGTATATGATGAGCTGCCAGAGATCAACCTGGATGTGCCTCATGCGCACTCCATTATGGAAACCTTTGTGGACCTTTGTTACAAAGAGTCAGTGATCACTAAGCAGCTGAGAGATTCCTGTCCAACCAGGTCAGAGACTTGTGTCTTCCCTGTTAACCGATGTTCCGTCATATGTAAAGACTAGAGAATATACATTTTGTTACTGTCTGCTAGCATAGGCGAAGTTTCACTTTTATGCGTGGGGGGGGCACCCACTGGCAGATGAGCCACGAGCATTTTTTTATATGTTCTACACTTCATGTATTTATGTAACACATATTCTACATTAAAAATACATTTAGAATGAACAATAACTGCTGTACAAAGAGTAAAAAAACAAAAAAAACAATGAACAAAAGCCGCCTCTTTTTCCGAATTGCATAGATGACCACTATTTTTCTTTCTTCTCTTCTGATAAATTTTCAGTCAAATCGTTCTATGTGTGCTAGATCATAGCCAGTTTCTTATTCTCCTCATAACTGAGAAATTTACTTGATGTAGCCGAACCAGAGTCCTGCATTTTAGCCTGGGCCCAATGGGCCCCGACGTTTTTACGCCCCTTGGGCTGGGCTTCGGCCCAATTTTCACGTCATAGTTCAGACACGGACCGGGCCTCGGGCCTGTTTTAGGCTTCTCCTTATTTTATATTTTAGACAGCCATCAATTAGTGATGAAAAAAATTGCTACGCTGGTGGAAACAACACGAGACCGTGCTACCGCGACTGTCAAAAGCAGCTCGACGGTGTTTAGTGTCCTGCAGCAGCAGGTCATGCGTGCCTTCAGCGCAGCTGAACAGTTCTGCGTTCAAATGCATGCAATAGGCTTAATTAAGCTTGCCGCAAAGCATCGGCAAAAGTAATTACCACAAATGTGTCAGGGGGAAACAGTAAGGAGATATTTCAGTTATTTACTAATAAATAGTGTTTTCTGAGTCGGTGTCGCAAGGATGAAGTTGCCGATCCTGACTCGCCATCTCCTCATTAGATGCGCCTTTAGAGAGAAGTGCATTTTTAAGGATTATGATTATAATGAAAGAGTTTTTGTTTTTTTGTTTTTTTATTTTGTTAAGTAACAATTTAAAGCTTTCTATAGATATATTTATCATGTCTGTGAGGCATGTATTTGCTGAGTTCATTTTTGTAAGCGCTCCTGTTCAAGACGAGACGGCAGAAAGCGCATCGTGTTTGTTTTCTTTATTTTATAAAAGCACAACGTTTTGTTGATATTGTGAGTGCACACAAAGTACAAATGATGTATTACTCGAGTCTTACCTTTATGAGCAAAAATGACGGCGTATTCACTGAAAAAAAATGCAAGTGATCGTGCTGGCACCTCCATGTCCTGCAAAGCGCGCTTCAGCTTCCACTCTCTGCGCAAACTATTGGATACAGCGCACATTTATCTAGGTTTAACGTCTAAACATTGTTATATGCTTGAACTGTTTTATATCTA